ATATTTCCTATAATAATGTACAACTATATATGTCTGTTATGAAATGAATTAATCAATCTATTTATCTAATCTTGAAACTCCTTATTTTAGTAAAAAACAAGGAATAACGAGGCTCAGTCTATTTTTAGATTTGCTTTTTCTGTTTGTTGTTAAGCACAATGGGCTATCTGTGCTGTGCCCACCACGAGTATTTAAACACACTATTTAACGTTATAAGCCTACAGAATTACAGCTAAACCACTGGGGGGGGGGGGGGTCTTTAGATTTGCCACATGTCATATATTACAGTTTATTATAGACACTTTGTTTGTTTGTAGTTATGCACAAAGCTACACAATGGACTATCTGTGCTCTGCCCACCACGGGTATCGAAACCCGGTTTCTAGAGTTATATGTCCGTAGACATAGCGCTGTGCCACTGGGGGGCATTATAGACAGAAATCGTGCAATGAGCTAGACCTATTTAGTGGATTAGGAACGGCATACGAATAAACAGTTGTGTTAAGATTTTTTGCTGCTGTTGTTTTTCAAAAATAAACTTTACCGATTTTCTGAGAACATGAAAGACGATTAATAAAGACACAGAATGATTAACAACGTTTAATATAGTGAATATTAACTTTATCTAATCCTATAATAAAAACTAGACATAATCGAGACGATTAACCAAAGTTGATCGTTTAAATCATATTTTTTTTACTAATGTCCTCAAAATATATTATAAAGCTGTTTACACATCATAGGAAAGCAAATATTTTTGTCTAGCAACAACGTTCAACCAATAAACCATCACATGGTTATTTCTTTATCTATTTGCTCTAAAAGCTAAGCTGCACAACAAGCTACCTTCGCTGTGTTCACGGTAGAAATCAAACACCTAATTTTAGCACTACAAGTCCTCAAGCTTACCGCTGAGCCACTTTACAATTTAAAACTTTCTCCCCAGTTCAGGTAGACATAAACCGAGAACAGCGTTTTCGGGCTAGTTTGACAATCTGCCTGTATGTGTTAACGGTAAATCGATTACTAAATATGACCAATTCTAGTCCTATTTAATATATTAAATACCCCTCCTCATTTACCAATTGGATCGTATTGTGACAGTTGTCATTCATATAGCTAAAGATGCAGTTAAACGTTTTCAGCAAATTATCACAACAGATGTAATATACCTTCACAATCGTTATCTTAAAACTATTATACACACTTAAAAGCCCCCCAGTGGCACAGCGGGATCTGCGGAGTTACAACGCTAGAATCCGGGTTTTGATACCCGTGGTGGGCAGAGCACAGATAACCCATTGTGTAGCTTTGTGCTTAATTACAAACAAACACACTTAAAGGAAAAGCCTGCATTTTAGATTTTGTTAAACGAAGGCCAACATTCAGTTATTTCAAGTTACAATGTTATAAAATTATTCTCTACTTTGTACTTTATATTTTCTTTTAGAACCGTTGGCCAAAGCATTATATTTAGTACAAGTTCTGTTTATCGATGTAATAAACCATGTTTTTACGACTAGAACAAAGAAACGTTTACATTTACAACGACTATATTTGTTTTATAGCCCGGTGATCATCGGTAATTTTGCGGGTTTATAAGTTTAAAATTTGGGGTTTGATATCTGCGATAGGCACAGCACAGATAGCTCCTTGTGCATCTTTGTGCTTAAACAAATAAAAAAATGTGTAAGTATAATAAAACAATATTACAACAGTTGTCGCCTTCCCGCTTTCTCTAGTTGTAAATTAATAAAACAACAAATGTTCTTTTCATTTTTAACTTTTTTATAATTCCCCTCTCTCTCTTAAAGAAAAAAAAAGTGTATAATACGCGTATATCGGATGGCTGGCTGTTCTTCCCAGTAAAAAATTAAAACGCATAATATCAAAAATGTTTCCTAGATCATATTTAAGAAAAAAAACTTTCGACAATGGGTAGTCTTCTTTAGAGATAACTGAATGCATAACGAGTAGAGTTGTATTGGAGTTTTCACAACCCCATAATACGGGAGATATAGCAAAATGTACTTTATATTATGAGACATTGCTTAGTGTGAGAGGAATTATACTTGATGAAATTTACAGCGTACTAATCAGAACAATACTGCGCATAAATTAACGTCATTCGAACTGGAAGCATTTCTTGTTAGACTAGAGACAGCACCGTACAGTCTAAAAGAGATGGCTTCATGGGCGCCCAAAGGGCGAGGGGAGGGTATTTGGGCAAAGGGGCACTTGCCCATCTGGATTACCAATTTTGTGTTTCCCTAGTTATAGGTTTGATATAATTTAGTCATCTTGCCCAATTCTGTAATATATCCTGCGGATGCCCATGTATGGTTTGAATATGCTTTGACTTTAAATAAAGTGAAATAACACAATTTTGTCCTCTTTGAAGTCAAACTGGTGAGATAACCATGTTTTGGTCAGTTTGACCGATAACTATTAAAGCACTTTTTCCATACTCATGTTTCAACCATCATTTATTTGGAAAATTATTATTTCATTATTTTTAAACGTGATGAAGATATTTTTTTCTAAGGAAATATAACTCTCCTTACTGTTTTAATCTTTAAAAATGTTTTTAGATCGAAATTGTTTCAAAAATTCAAAACTTGATTATGCATTTTAGCTCTATGAAGTTTTATTTTACTGTGTATATAAAGGGAGTTACTTGAGGAGATGCTGCACTCAGTCTACATATGCTTCTAATTGTCTAAACGTTTCACTCCAACCTCCAGTAAACACAGATTTTCTTAATTTTACCACTCGTTCTGTGCACATAAAGCGTTCAGAAAGCGCTCCAGATATCGAAAATGTCAGTCTTCCGAAAACGCTCAGGTTATCGAGTTTTTATTTTGTGATCGTAGGTTGCATGTTAAGAAAAATTTAAGTTTATTGATTCCCGACGTCAGATGCTCCTTAAACTTACACCTAAAGAATCCTAAACCATACTATCAATTAAGCAGATATTAAAAATCTTACTATGTTTTCTTTTTTCAATCTTTGGGTGCACATGATTCGTGACTTTCAAATTACTATTACGCTTAAAACACATTAAAATTTAAAACTAAAAGTTGACTCTTAAGACAAATTACATAACTTCTTGTGTTTCAAAATCAAAACAGCCTCAGATGTCTGAAAGTTTTAGGATAAACAATTACAAAACAAGTTTAACTAGAAAGTTATTTCTGGAACACTTTAATTGTAATTTGATTTGCGGGCATATCATACGTTTTCTACCTTGTTTAGCGATATGGATATTTTTTAGAAATTTTCGGTTATTTAATTAATTTCCGCGCTGTAACGGGGACAATATAGAGTACAGAAAGTCGTTCCGATTACCTTGTTCTAGTTGATTCGTTTCTTTGTTCTCTGTAGTAGGTAGCGTCTCTTCTGCCTAAAGGGATATTGCAGTAATATGTATAGCATCCACGTTAAAGGGATTGGCATTGTAATATCCTTTTCTGACCGTTTATGACGTTGGTTGAATGCAACAGCCAACCAATGCTGTCACAAGGTGACGCTACCAACTGGACAAAAAACTCAAGTTCATCTGTTGAACCGAGATACGCTTCTTTGGTTCAATTCTACTTGAGTTTCATCGTGACTAGTTGGGCAGAGATTCATCTTGAGAGATGGGAATCTGACAAGCTGTCCACTGATTCAGTAGATGCGATCGTCCATTTGTCTACGCTGGAATACATATTGTTTTTTTATTGTTGTTGTGTCTAAATAAAAAATCTTTGTGATGTTCTTCAAATTTGTCTAATCTGTTTATTTCTCGCGCAATTTAAAACTCAGCCAAGTTATCAACTACAGAACATTCCCCTTATCCCTTGGTTGTATCTGTTGTTATTGTGAGTTAACCTATCTGATATTTGTCGGGAAAATCGGTCTTATCTTAAAATACCACAATATCAACTTTTTCGGAAAGGAACGTATGGTAAGATGAATAATTCGTATTGTTCTTCATCGGAGCCCCCCAGTGGCACAGCGGTATGTCTGCGGACTTACAACGCTAGAATCGGGGTTTCGATACCCGTGGGGCAGAGCAAAGACACAAAGGATACAAAACAAACAGACAATCTTCATCGTATCTTACCAATATTAAACGTTACAGATATTACTGTTGTTTCTAACTTTTGATGTTATGATATCGAAGCTTTCTTTGTGGTTATCAATTCTTCCGAAAGAACAGTAAATTTTAATCTTAGAATTATCCGTTGGGTCCATGAACCATACTTGGTTCTTAAACACATTTTTTAAACTGTTTATGCACCAACATTTTCATGGTCCATAACTTTATTGGTTACAAGGTCTCTAATACCATATGAGTCATATGGAAAAATTAAAACAAATATATTTTCAATACTGCAATCAAATCTGCTAATTACTGCTGAGATCCCATATTTACTTTACATGGAAAACGAGTGGTATCACCCTTTTTTATAGTTATTTAAATTGAGCATTGTAATAGACAAAAACATAAAATTATTCAATATGATGCAATATCTGGGCCGCACCAATGATGAATAGTATAAAGACAAGTCGATGATTTGAGGATTAATTATTTTTACTTTATTATATTACAAAACAGTTACAGCCACTGTGTATATTAGATGCTATATTTATAGTTTTAATCTAAAACTGATGGAGGGTGGCAAGTTTATATCCCATTGTGGTTACAGTTGTTGACCAACAGTATATGGTAATGGTTAAATATGGAATTTATGAATTCCTCACACTATGAAATAAAAGTAATGATTTTAAGCACATCTTTAGTTAGTTTTCGTTTGTTATTCTGGAAAATAAAAGATAATAATAGCACTACACTAAGTTGACTTGTTGATTAAAAATATTTGAAGTTTAACATAAATATTGTTTAAAACCATACTTATTAGTTAAGAGTCCGTTAGTTGAAAACTGTTACCTCATCTATGATAGTTGAAGGATCTCTTTATGAATAAACTTATCCTGTTTATCTTGACTTTTACTCAATTCTCTTTTAGCTCCAGACTTTTAACCATTTGAGATAATTTTAAACATCTTTTATCCCTTGTTTGGTAGGAAATTGATGTATTATCACAATAATCACTGCTATCTCCAGAACCTTCGAAGAAGGAAAGAAAATTAGCTAAACTATTAGACCTGGAGCGATGCTCCTCACAAATGGAAAAGGAAAATGCTCTCTCGTTTATGTGTCCTTTCTTACGATAGATGCCAGTATTGAAAGGTAATTCTAATAAAGTCTTCTCCTTACCACCCTTAGTCTTCTTCTGAAAAACTTTAGGTGGTCTTGGTGCTGTACCATAGTGCTGTAAGAAATAACTCTCATACGGAAAGGTTCCGGGTTGGTAAGAAGCAGTGAGTGTGATTGGTCTAGCAGATGACAGGAAAGTGGGGTCTTTCGTTGGGGGTATAGGGATCTGTTCCTTCTCCTTTCTTCTTCTTTCTGTATATAACCCCGATTCAGAATGGCTAGTGCCTGAAGGCACTGTAATAAGGGAAGGTCCGTGTAACATACCTTTTGTTACAATAGTTGTTGATTCTGAGTCTTCTTTCTTCTTTGGTTTGAATAATTTTTTTATCATAGCCTTACTCTTAATTTCTTTACCTGGTATTGAAACTACATTAGGTGAGAGTGTTAGAAAGGGGTTATTCCCTAGCGACTTGCCACTGCTGACTGTGCCAGTGTTGTCAGAATACATCACTTCCTGTTGTGAGGAGGCTGACCCCATCCACAATTTGCACATTTCTCTTCCCGTTCTAGAAGCTGGTCTAGACTTGAGGACTGAGAAATAACCTTTATCGATTGTCTCATAGCGCCAATCTTCTACTCGCTGGAATGTGTCTAATCCAGATATAGAGAGACTCCGGCGTGTTTCCAGGTGGTGGGGACTTTCTTCCAACTGTCGAGCTTGGATATTGTCCGTATAAGCATGAAAACAACAACGGACTATTGCATTAGCAGCAGCATCCTTTTTGCAAATGAAGGCATGACACTCCAAAGCTGTCATTTTGGTGGTACGACGCAGGATACAAGCAAACAGAGGAGGATGTTTAGAGTTAGCTTGTCGAACAAATAGACTATCTAGAGGCAAAAACGTTTCTACTTTATCTCCACCAATATCCTGGACGACGACGTTTCGTATAGCCGCACAATAATATAAAGACTCAATTGGAAAAAACCTAGTCATTTGGCGCATGTATTTGTCTACGTTTTCTAAAAGAATTCCATTACTCCAAACACTCAACCAAGAATCGATCCCTGTAGTGTTGAATGTGTCACGACCCGGGTAGAGAACCCGTAGCGGTTCTTGTAATCCTTGTAATCCATCCTTGGTAATGTGGGATACCGCGGATCCTAAGTAGAGAACACGGCAACGACAGATCGGGGTCGTCATGTCAGTAATAGCTACAAGCAACACAGTTTATCGGCTGTAAGCACAAAAATAACACAAAAAACAACAACTCAACTTCACTAAATATTACATTAAATGCCATTTATCGATAGAAACTCATTAAAGTTGGAACAACCTGTATATTCTTAACAATAGAGCCTCAGTTCACGTCCTGTCTTCTATAGTAGTAAGGTAGGCTCGAAACTCAACTGTCATGCGTTTCTAATTTACTCGATTCTATTGGACCTCAAACGTGCAAACGACCAGCTAGCTACCAGCCAATAGGGTGGCTCGTAAAGGGGCAGCTGATACCGTCTACAGTTCTTATGGGAAGCAGTTTGATGAAACTGATATTACGAGGTCACCTGCATGCCATAAGTGGCCTGCATTGTTATTTTCAATGCATCTAGACACAAAACGTCATTAATCGTCAGGGAATTGTATATTCTTTCAATTCAGATCTGTTAACTGACGTGTAGAAAAATATCGTGTTTTGAGATGAAACGATGATAAACTTATAATTAGAAGGTGAGCTTTTTAATAACTCATCCTTCAGGAAATGTTTTGTCTAGGCCAGTGTTCACGTGCTTATTTGTTTGTTTACTTATCAACTAATATCAAGCTGATTTTCGCTTAAGATATAAGAACTCAATGAAATAGAAACCGTGAATTTCGGGTTGCACGTTTATTTTCTATATTTTTAAGAATCTTTACTTTCATAGAAACAGTGCTTTATTTGGCTACTTGTAAACATAAAGTACAGTAAATATATTTTACGTTGGTAAAACTTCATATTATTACATGTTAACAATTATAAACAAAACAAAAATGACTGTAAAAAACTGACAATTAAACCAAACGTTTTATTATGAAAAGCTTTTCTGAGATTTCTGTTTTGTTTTTAAAGTTAAAAAAATTATTTCCAGCATTTTTTGTTTACTTACAAATATTTTATTTATGCACGTCCAAGGTTTAGTAAAGATAAACGCTTCTGTTATTTTTTTGTTGTTTGTTTTTATAGCAAGCTCGGGCTATATGCGGTCATTTCACCACAGCGGATGGAACGCCGGAATTTAGCGCTGTAAATCAAGTATTTGATCTTTTTATTATCCCTCGGTAGGATTATAATTATCCCTCGGTAGGATTATAGATTAAAAAGATCAAATACTAAATCTATAATCCTACCACAGGCTACCGAGGGACAATAAAGATATCAAATAACATATAAACATGTATCTTAAGGATTATAGTATGTTATGTATGATAATTGTTAGCAACCTTACTGTGTTCAAACACTTTTTCCCAAAACACACGAAAAACCATGTCAAAGTAAAATGTAATTGATCTCAAATAGTTGAATAATATTTAACATTTGCAGACAGATATGAAATACATTTGAGAGTGACATTATGTGACACTAATAAAATGTTAATGCATGGAACGTTAACCATTTAGGTTATCAGTTTCATAATATTCGCATGTACGAGATAAGTCGACTATTTTCAGCTTTGTTTTTTAAAAAATATTATACACACCACGAGGTAGCGTTCTTTATATACAAGAAGATTTCATATCATTCAAAGTTAATGGAAACGAAAACGATCATTTTAAGGTCCAACTCTTCCTTGCTCTGAACAATACGCTCCCTGATGGCTCTCGTCCCCCAGTGGCATAGCGGTATGTTTGCGGACTTACAACGCTAGAAACCGGGTTTCGATATCCGTGGTGGGCAGAGCATAGATAGCCTATTGTGTAGCTTTGTGTTTAATTACAAACAACGCTAAAAATTTGGATTCGACACCCGCGATGGGAAATAGCGCATATTACCATTGTGTTGCCTTGCGCTTAGTAACAGACAAACAGAACAGTACACTTTTTTAGTGTGTGTGTGTGTGTCAGCTATATTATGATCGAGTTTAATCATCTTCAATTATCGACATATGATTTTTTTTTCTCTTCCACTTATGCTAAAACTTTTTGTTGTCAAGTAATAAAAAACAAACGCATAACTTGTATCGTAAAAATATTTTTTAGACATACTAATATACTTTACTGTAAAAGAATGGTTATTTAAGTGACCCAAATTGCAATAAAAAACAAAGAATAGTGATAATTATAATTATTGTGGTTCGAAACGCTTTATAATTCGAGTAACAGACTGTGAGTTTTAACCAAAAAATTCAGTTTTGAATTAGTTTTTTCCCTCAAACTTAAAACTTAATATTGCTATTATATATGATCCTTTGAGCAACCTTAATAATAACAAACAAGCTTCCTGTGCGATAACACGCAGCAGTATTTAGGATGGAGCCATCACAATCATGATCGTAAGGGTGTTTTTGGGGTAAGGGGTCACGGCTAAACTTTAAAAAAGTTATAATTATTTTCTAAGGGAAAATTAAAAGTTTGCAAAAACTAACCTGACATTTGTTTGTTTTTCCTGGGCAATATGAAAGTTCAAATAAGAAATATATGATACATACTGTCTTCTATCAGTGATGTTTCCAGAAATTTAACAAAACCAGTTGTGCATGTCATTTGGAGGTGCGGCATGGCCAGGTGGTTAAGGCGCTCGTCTCCCAATCTGAGGGTCGCGGGTTCGAATCCCCGTCACACCAAACATGCTCGCCCTTTCAGCCGTGGGGGCGTTATAATGTGACGGTCAATTCC